GTGGGAAATAGATTTGTTTGGACTTTTGCAAGACAAAATAAAGATAAGCAATTTTAAAAATGGGACACTAGAGGGAACGAAAGTTTTTAGTTAAAGGAAAAAAATACCCAAGCCTGATTAACAACTAATTAACTGGGACATATAAAATGACACAAAATATTTTAACATTGAAAATATTAAACAACACTTTTGAAAAATGGAATCAGAAGTTAGTATCAACAATGTCAATGGTGGTGTTTGCTTCTATGAATAAACTGTGTCCAAAAGATGTTTTGGAAGAAATGGCAGATGAAGAACTTTTATTTGACAAGACAGAGATGGCATCGAAAGTGGATCTACAAAAGATCCACTACAAATGATCTACAAACTGGACACACAAAAGAAACCAGTTGATGTTTTAAAAATCAAAAGGGACATAGAAATAATAAACCAAGAGAGTGGCCTGGATAATTCTTTTATTTACAAAAATAATTTACAAAAGGTGTAAAAAAGTCAATATGTCCTTGATTGCGCAACTGACACAAATAATCTTGAGGTTTTTTTACATTCCTGCGCCTTCTTTGTGATTTTAATAGTATATTATGTTTTAAAATGCATACACTCTCTCTCTGCCAGGCATGTGTTCTCACATTCTTTACAAAACTTTCCATCTCAGTTTTGGATTTTCATTGGATGTCAGAATTTAATATAATATCATCCCAGGAATGCTCATATCTCAAAGGCATGGTGAAAGCATTATATTTTAATTCTGCTTTTGAGCTGGTCTATGACTGTAATAAAGTATCTTGTCTTGTCATTATATTTTAATTTCATTTAATTTTAATTCATTTAATTTAGTGATCTGTTTACTAACTATAAAAGGCCATTTTTTTTCATGGTACATTAAAAAATGATGAAATTTTAAAGTTTGAACTTGCCAAATTAAATTTTAAAACAACTTGGATTAATTAAAAAACAGTCATGACAAGTTCGTGACATACTGTAATGTATCTTTGTAGGGTGAAATAAGAATGTTTCCTTCTGTAGTAAAAGACTATTCTCAATGACATTCTTTTTCTTACTCTTAATTTCATCTTTATTGTCTTCAGGTGTTTCTCTTTTGTTGCTTCATATCCTTCATTCTTGCTTTGTTCATTGAGGCCTCAAAATTGATCCAAATAAAGGAAATTAATTGATTTTCATGGTTGAATTCTAGAACCTGTTGCAGTCACTCGACCTTTGGTTGACAAGTCTGTTACAGAAGGAGAGAAGGCCAACTTACAGTGTGAATTGTCCATTGAGGCCCAAGAGGTGGTTTGGGTCAAAGAGAAAGAACCAATCCAACTTGGAGGAAGATATGAAATCATCTCTGAAGGCAAAAAACAGACACTCATCATACATGATTTTAAACCTGAAGATCAAGGAACATACACCTGCATAGCCTCTCCTGAAATCAAAACATCTGCAAATCTTTCTTTTGACAGTAAGTTAGAATTGCTATTCCAAATAATTTCTCCATGACTAAATCTGGCCTTAGATGTTTGAAAAATATTGGATTGGGTAAATTACAGTACAGCCATTTCCCTTGTAGTTGTTTTTTCCAAGCAGTGGCAGCTGCAGGGAGTCAAAACAGACAAATGGCAGATGGGGCATCATGATCCAAGTCCCACCCCTTTTGTACATGTGTCAATATCATGCATACAAGCTTTGATGACAACACTACCTCTGCTATCTTGGCTGTTTTGGCCCACTACATGGATATTGCTGCTTCCTAGAATGTCCATATAGCTGATCCACTGTATCTGGGATCACACAAGGAACAAAAGGACATCATCATGACCTGTACCTCTTTGGTAGTTGCTATGTATTTTATCAAACAAAAAGGACAGTTTACAGCAAAACCAACAGCAAGGAACGAAGTAGACATTTTCTCAAGTGTGTAACTTGCTGTGAAGAGAAGTTCTAGACCAAGAGAAATGGCTTTTTTTCACTATAATATTATAGTTCACATGAGTGTCAGCCAAGGCATCACTGGGGTGTGTGAGTAAAAAAAAAGATGGAGGCCCTGTCACGTGATAGAAACCCCACCTCTTTTCAATGTGCATTGCACATACTACACACCAAAAAAGGAGCAGGATTTTAGTCACATGGCTATGGCTGTTGTCTTGACTTGTTTGGCTAGAGAAGAATTTCAGTTCATTAAACTCTCAACTTTGGGAAGAGATCTTCAAGTTGATGAAACCGTATCTAAAATACACATACATTGTATCTGGGAAAGGTTATAGAAATGTTCTGGGCCCCAATTCTGCTTCTCTGATCTCCTCGGGATGTCTCCTCCTTATCCGCCCACTGTTCTTCAAAGGTCAAGAATGATCTCCTATCAGCACAACACATCAAATTGTATAATCATTCAAATATTAGCTCAATATGAATAAACTCATCCAGTCCCACCATCTTACAAAAATACAAACGTCTGGATTTTCTCTAGTGTATGATTTTGCTTATTTGCTTACTTATTTATTTGTACATAAAGTTGACAATTCAGTGGAGAAAAGTTTGTAAGTTTGTTAGTCCTGTGAGCATGCATTACCATAAATATAGCTTTTTAATACATGTTTAACTTAGTACTACAGTAAAATCTCAATTTAATGAACCGTGGTGGTGGTGGGGAGATGTCCATTGAAGTAAAATGTCCATTAAATGCAAATCTAAATTACAAAATTATGTGCTTTATGCAATTCAATAATAAATTAAAAAGTATGTAACAATTAATTTAAATTGTCCATACTGATTTGCCCAACAATGGACCTTTCTGTTACTTGGGGGTGAGGTACAAACTCAGATTTTGACTGTTTGATTCTAAGATCTGCAGAATGGGGGAGAAGGTCTGTAAAATTGAGGTTCCTGTATGTTTTCCTCCCTCTTTCATACCTAGCAGTCTCTGTGCTCTGACTTCATCATAATAATCTCATCATTTAATTTCTCAGTTTCCACAGTGTCAATGCTAAAAGAGGCTGCCGAGGAAGCACCAACTGCAGAGGAGCCAAGCAAGGAAGCTGACGAAGAGGTCCAACCCAGCTTGCCTCCAGAAGCAGCTCAGGAAGGTGACCTCCACCTTTTGTGGGAAGCTCTGGCCAAGAAGCGGAGGATGAGTCGGGAGCCAACCCTGGATTCGATCAGCGAGCTGCCCGAAGAAGATGACAAACTTCAGAAACGGAAGAAAGAGGAAGCTGAGGTAACCCAGTACTACTCAGAGGAATATTCTACTTGTGATGAATCAGCAAAAGCTGGAGAAGCAGACTTTTCTATTACAAGTTCAGATGATGAATCCAGGGCTGGAACACCTTCCTTAATCAACTACCTTAAGAAGGCTGGGTCATCTACTGTTAGCATCAGTACCAAAGCCCAGACCTCTGTAGAGAAAGTCCCTCGAGAGCGGGAGAAGGCAGGTAGTGAGCCACCTCCTCCTGCTAAGCCATCTGAAATGGAGATAGCCGAAGGAGAGTTGGATGACCCTTCCATGTCTCAAGCTGCTGTGAAAATTCAAGCTGCTTTCAAAGGGTACAAAGTGAGGAAGGAAATCAAGCAGCAAGAACGCCCCGTCTTTACTGAGACCTTCAAGGATTTCACTGGCAAGGCAGAAGACACCCTCCATCTGGAATGTGTGGCCCACAGCAAAACTGATATGAAGGTCAGTTGGCTGAAAGATGGGAGTGAAATTCTGGATGGGCGGCATTATCATATAGACAATTACAATGATGGAACCTGCTCCTTGATCATTGCTGGCCTTGAAATGAATGACACGGGCAAGTATACCTGTGAAGCATCCAATAAATTTGGCAAGGTCTCCCACAGTGCCAAGGTGACCATCCAACCCCAAGCAACATCCCGCAAGCAAAAACTTGCCCAGAAGCTTCCTGAGAGCGAATCAGAAAGCTCATCTGGCAGTGAGTTGGATGATGCCTTCCGTAAAGCTGGAAGGAGACTACACAAGCTGTTTAAGTCAAAAATTTCTACAGAGATCTCTGATGTGGAAGAGGAACTTTTTGTCAGTGCTGATGAGGGAGAGATAGAGGCAGTGGATCATCAGACCTACCGTGAAGATGAATGCTACATCTATATCAAGTTTGAAGTTCACTCTGAGGCCAAAACAGCTGCTGGACGATTTCGGGAGATGTTTGCTGCTATGGGCATTCCTGTTGAGATTGAGATTTTGGACCAGGGTCCTAAAAAAATAGAATTGCGTATTGGGAAAGCCACCTCACCTTCTCCAGGACAATTGCGGACTTTGGTTCAACGACCACCACCTCCTTTGCTAACATCTGATACTGGTAAATATGCAAGTTTTAATAGAATTGGCAGGGTCTCATTGTTATGGACGGTGGAGCAGGTAGGCCAGATGGCTTACCCTAAGTCTGATGCATTTTCTCCACAAATAATATTAAGATAATTAAGTTACCAGAATTCCTTGTGTGAGATCAAGGGAAGTCTTTCACTTCTCTTACTCTAATTCTAAGCTTTGATTGGTATGAAGATGGGAAGGGGGATTCTGTCCATGTGTTATGAGCATTTAATTTTTCCATCCCTGAGCTGAATCAGGGTAGAAGCTTGCTTTGGCTACCAGTGCCAGGTACTTGGAGCATCCACCAGGTTCAGGGGCAAGCTATGGACTTCTGTTTTCCTACTTTAACTTCAAGGTAGTCATGGTTCAGGACTTGGGCATAGAAACATCATATGCAGGGTCTTCCCAGTCTTCTCTAAAACATTTGTGATCAGAGAAGTTCTGCTACTTTATTTCTTTCTGGATGATTTCAAGGCTGCAAAGAAATTCTGATTGTCATGTTCACCAGAGTCTCTTTGATTCCTAATTGTGAAAAGGGAATTGGACAGGGTTGCAGATAATAAGCAAGTCTTTTTTACCATCTGTGATCTGGGAAAACAGGAAATTAATACAGAGATGTCTCAATATTTTAAACTTCCCAGAAACTTAAAGTCCTCTCTTAGAAAGCTGTGTCCACATGAATCAGGCAGATAGATAGATAGACAGATAGACACATTTGCTTTTATTGTTCTTTATTGAAAACCATTCCAGCTCCTATCTTCATAACTGAGCTTCAGAACCAAGAGGTACAGGATGGTTACCCAGTCAGTTTTGACTGTGTTGTTATTGGCAAGCCAATGCCTACCGTTCGGTGGTTTAAGGATGGCCGAGTTATTGAAGAGGATGACCACTACATGATCAATGAGGATCAGGAAGGATGCCATCAGCTGATCATCACTGCTGTGGTCCCTCTTGACATGGGTGTCTACCGCTGCCTGGCTGAAAACAGCATGGGGGTGTCTTCAACAAAAGCTGAGCTACGAGTGGACTGTGAGTCTGTAGCTGGGGTGGAGAAACTATTCTTCAAAAGCTGAGCATACCTTTTGGGAGCATGAAATACATTTCAGCCTGTGTGACATCATTAGGCATGAAGATAGGAATAGAGGCTGAGAAATTGAGGATAAGAAGTTTCCAGGATTTAGAATGCCCGACTTTAATGGAAAAATATTTCCGTGTAAATCAGATGATTTCTAAGGATGGAAGCACTCCTTATTTAGTCAGGAATCTCTGGACTTTGCAAAATGCCTGTGGGCCAATACAGGTAGACCTTAACTTATGACTACAATAGGGACTGGAAAATTTGTTGTTAAGTGGTACAGTTGTTAAGCAAGGCATCACATGACTGCACCTGATTTTACAAATTTTTTGCGGCAGTCATTAAGTGAATCACACAGTTCCCCATTGATTTTGCTTGTCAGAAGCTGGCTGGGAAGGTCGCAAATGGCGATCACGTGATCCTGGGATGCTGCAACCATTATAAATACATGCCAGTTGCCAAGTACCCAAATTTTGATCACATGACCGTGGGGATGCTGCAACAGTCATACATGCAAGGACCAGTCTTAAGTTACTTTTTTCAGCACCATTGTAATTTTGAACAGTTGCTAAATGAAAGGTTCTGAGTTGAGGACTACCTGTATGCCATGTAAGTAATTCAAAATCTCCTGAAATGTCCACTTTCATTCACAATAATTACAGAAAGAGGGGTTGTCTATGGATGTTTTACTGTTATAAATCATCAAGAATTGGTGGATGTAGTGGAACATAGATTTAATCAATAATTTGGTGCCTGCTCTTTAGAACATTGTCTCTCTGGAGATTAGATTAGCCTCAATTGAGATGGACTTTTGGATGGCTCTGAAGACCTGTTTATGCCTCCAGGCATGGGTACTGGAATATGTGACAGAGCCCATGGGATGGTTGAGTTGATAGTTGGAAAGGTTTTTACCTTAGCTGCCAATTTGTATTTATTGTGATATTATTGTTGTTATTTTATGTTTTTAACCACTGTTCACTATCCAGAGTCATGAGGTTGAGAAGGGCGGCCATATATGTTGAAATAAATAAAGACATGAACAAATAGCAAAGTCTAAGTATTGGAGAAACAAAATAGAACCAGGGCCTCCCATGCCAAATGGGGGCTGGGCAGTCTGTTTATGTGGGATGGGAAAGAGAAAGAGGTGCCAAAGGGATTGAATCACTAGGGTTTGGTCATGCAAAACCAACATGTCTAGAGTTCTTTCACTATGTTTCCTATCCTTCCTTCTGTAAAAATCAACTTATCAGAACTTCTTCGATTCTTGCTCAATTGGTTTCAGTCTCATGGCCACCTTCTTTTATGCTGTTTTTGAGAAGTTTTGCTCTAAAGCAGTGTTTCTCAACCTCAGCAACTTTAAGATGTGTGGACTTCAACTCTTAGAATTCCCACGTTGGCTGTAGAATTCTGGGAGCTGAAGTCCACACACCTTAAATTTGCTGAGGTTGAGAAACACTGCTCTAGAGCAACCCACCGCCCCTGAAACCTTCTTTTTTCCATTCATTAGTAACCAGCACAGACTATGATACAGCAGGAGATGCAACAGAGACCTCATCATACTACAGTGCCAAAGGTTATCTCTCCAGGTAAACAAACATGATTTTGGAAAGTACCTTTATTGCCCTTACTGGTTTGCTTCTATGACTGTTGGGACTGTTCCCTTGTTGTAGCATGTCTTTCTTGAGATAGATTGATCTTGCATCTCAGAATCTTTCTGAATAACACATTTGGTGTCCTGGATGTTGCAGGCTAAAGGATCAATAACTTTCTCTGCTGATAAGGAATATGTTAGATTTCTGCACTGTTTCATACATTTTTTTTAAAAAAGTATGACTGGTTCCAAGGTGTTATAAGTGGGGCTTGTTGAACTACCAGCATTTATGCAGGGATTATCCAAAGTAATGGTACCCTTCCAGGATGATGAATGCCACCCTCTTCTATGTGGTTGCAGAATTCTAATATGGCTGATGAGGCTAAAAAAACCTCACAAATGTAGGAATGTGGAACCAGAGATAATTAGCCTGTAGAAGCATCCTTGTTTACTTGGAAATCATCTGCAGTATTATTTGATGCGTTGGTTTGTCCCATGTCCATTTTATCCAAGGAAAGGTTTTAGTTACTGGGTTTCTCTGTTCACATGAAAGTCTCAGAAGTATAGAACACTACTGTTTGTATCGGATTTTTGAACAGCACATGTGGTAATATATTGTCTGCTATAATTTATTGTGGAATGGTTTATCTCTGGGAGATGCATGAACTGTGATTTCATGGCATTGTCTTCTAAAACTGCCTTTTATAATTTGAAGAATGTGATGTCCTTGGATAACTTGATGGAGAATTAGTGAGCATGTCCATAAATGTAAATATCAAAAAGAAAACTGGATCAAAATTCCACCCAGGGTAATATAACTCAAGTGTATAGGTTCAGGCTAAATACTAGGAGGATTCTACATGCTCTCAGCTGGAGGAATCGGTTGCCATGTGAAGTAGTAAATTCTCCTACATTGGAGCCTGATCATTTGCTGGATCATTTGCTGGAAATGTTCTAGTGGATCCTGCGTGGAGCAAGGAGTTGGACTAGATGACCTCTAATCCAACTGTTTGATTCTGTAATGATTGGGAAGGCTTCTGGGGAGCAGAAATCTCCTTCCTGTAATGATTACAGGAAATTACATTTGGAAGTGGGCTTTGGGCAATATGTCAATTATTTGTTTTTTTCCTCCCTCCCTCTCCCACCACCTCTTGAGCCAGCCGGGAACAAGAAGGAGTGGAATCCACAACAGAAGAGGAACAGCTGCCACAAATCATGGATGAACTTCATGATATTCATGTAGCTCCTGGAGCTCCTGTAGCCAAATTCCATTTAAAGGTGAAAGGTAACAGATATTCCAGTATTTTTCATGCCTTCAAGGTCTTGGGTGGATCCATTAATTTGATCTCTTCATGCATACTGGTCTTCCTTTCCAGAGTTGTTCATGCAGTGGATGAACCTAAAATTGTGGTTTTGAAATTGTTCCACTTTATTTTGCTTTGGTCTAATCCCACTTTGAGTACTGAGTCCAGATCCAGGTACTGTGTGTTCAGAAGGATTCAGAAGCATTGCAGAATTCAGCACATTCTTCAAAATGACCAAAGCAGCATTTTACTGTTGTGACACAAGCTCCACCCCTTTCATATGCAGCCGCCATTACAATGCACATACGAAAGGGGTCGAGCTTGCATTGCACCAGTACAAACTGCTTTCATTGGTCCTCCACGGATGTCTCTGGACAGCGAACCTGGACAAGTTCAGAGAGGGGTAACGAGGATGATCAGAAGATGAGAAAGAAATGTCCTGTGAAGAGAGATTAAGGAATTGGGCATGTTTAGCCTTAAGAAAATGTACCTGAGCTGGGATATGATCAGACTCTTTCAATACCTGAAAGAAGGTCATACAGAAGGTCAAGACCTCATCTCTCTTGTTCAAGAGAGCAGAACATGGAGGAATGGAATTAAGTTACAGGAAGACAGATTCTGATGGAAGAAGAAACTTCCTAAGAGTAAAAGCAGTTTGACAATGGAACAAAGACCCAGAGACATGATGGGTTTCCCTTTACTGGGAGTTTTCTAGAAGAAACTGGATAGCCATCTGTTTGAGATGTTTTAATTTTGTTTCCTGCACCAAACAGTGATTTGACAGGATGGCCTTAGCAGCAAATTCTGACTCAAGAAATCTATGATTCTCCATGTCGAATGACAGAAGGGTCTTAGTGGGACACTCTGGCTAGTCAACTAGCTAGGTGTTAAGTGGAACAGTGCTGATCCCTTGGTTTGTATCATAACTCTGATAAATCTCTTCCTATCTGTCATATGTCTGCCTAGGTTTCCCAGAGCCACGTCTCTATTGGTTCAAAGATGGTCAACCGTTACATACAACCGATCGACTCCGAAAGACAGACACCCGAAAGTTTCATGCTCTTGAAATTCTCAATGTCATCAAGGAGGATGATGGCCAGTACTCAGTATTTATCACCAATTCTGCTGGTTCTGCATATTCAGCAGCCAGACTCCTGGTCACAGGTGAGCAGGTTGAAATGGCTGTTAATGCTAATTCTTTGGCCTGATAGGCCAAACCCTCCCACCAGAACTATACAGGCCTTTTTTCAATGTGATTGTGGGGCCCTTGTTGTGGTTTCTTGATATTATTATGGTTGTGTCCAGGCTATCTGTATTGTTTTATATTTTTAACTGTTTTTAACTGGGGGGGGGGGATTTTGTGAGCTGCCCAGAATCTGCTGGAGTAGGTAGCCATAACAAATGTAAATAAATAAGTACATAAATAAATAACAACAACAAAACAACAACTGGGAGCCACATCAGATTAAAACGAGAGTTTACCTTTTTTCAGTGGCAGAAATCCCCATGGGTAGTACGTGCAGAAACTCATGAAATCATGTATCAGTTCTACAGTGTCACCACAAAACAAAATGGGTATGAAAGATAGGGAGGATTACTAACTCTCCTGTGGAAATGACAGAGCTACCACAGGTCTTCTACAATTAACAGAACATTTCATCTAACAATTTCTGGTATTGGTCTTCCTATTCCTTGTGAGGTTCATAGGATGTGGGCTAGGTGACAAAACCCCTGCCCCATTTTATGGAATACTCTCCCCTGAGGTCCATACAAATTTTCTGTAGCAGGCAATGAAACGAAACCATTTGGACAATTCCAAGACAAACTTAAAGAAGGGAAAAAAGAAGTTGGTTATTGCATTTAATATCCTCACCTTGTGTTTGGCAAAGGAGTCCCAGGCTCCTTGCCGAAAGGGAACTGCATGGGCATGGCACTCCTCTGGGATTCACGGATGAGTCTCAATACACCATTCATTTTGGTAGGATGTTACAGGTTAAAATACCAAGAATACATAACCCAAAACCATGTATCACTTGCCATCAGCATTTACAAGAACATGGTTACCCATCTTACATGAATAGATTTTGTGATGGCCATTTGTTGTTTGTGCCAGAGATGTTTGACAAGCCCACTTCCAATCACTCTAGAGTCTGCTGTTTCCCCCTTCTAATAATGTGATATTTTTAGGAGTGGGCCTCAACAGTAAAGAATCCAGCAATCATCACAGACTCACACTTGGTAGGGCAATAACAAAGACCTTGGAAATGATACTCACATGCCAGAATGTGTCTATATCTACAAAGGACAAAATCATGCAGGCATTGGTTTTGCTGTGACACTCCGGATGTGAAAGTGGACACTGAAGAAACAGGATAGAAAGAGAATTGAATTTGAGCATTAGTGCGAATGACCTGGCTCAGATCATCACATTTTGGACATATTATGTGAAGATCCAGCTCCCTTGAAAAGTCCATAATGCTGGGAAAAGTTGAAGAAAAGAAGAGGATGACCAGCAGCAAGATAATAGCAGTGAATGCATTACTGAGAGACATAAAAATTCAAGTTGAAGGTTGATCATCCAGGAGAGAATATATGGGGTTGCTAAATATTGATACCAATCAATAATGGCTTTAAATTGACTACAGGGTAAACTCTTAATCCCAAATAACATAATCAAAATCATTACCTGATTTTTCATGTGACTGTGTCTTTTGAAAAAAATCCCCATTCTACAATCTCTACTCTACAGATGTTTCAAAGGCGGGCTAAAGCCACACTGTTCCAGCAGGCATTTGGCATTTGGTTGAGGAATGGTGCCTTGGATATAGTTTTTTTTTCTTGTTGTTTTCTGTTACACACACATGCACACATATCTATTGCATTCTTTTATACTGTTGTACCTTGCCTAGCATGTGTTAGGATTGGGGCAGGCTATCAATGTTGCAGAAATTAGATAGATAGATAGATAGATAGATAGATAGATAGATAGATAGATAGATAGATAGATAGATAATAGACGGATGGATGGATAAAATTAAATAATTCCAGATATCACTCAATCCCTTTTTTATGTTCTGCAGGAGCTGGTGAGGATGGAAAAGCAGAAACAGGTGAGAAAATGAAACACATGAGATATCAATGAAAGCAATAGCTTCAGCTGAAGTTCCACACAGCTTTGCTTGAGGATTGCTTTGCCCAAACCGATGAATTTTGGGTGTTTCGTTCATGCAAAATCAATCAAGTTTAGTCTGGGTTGTGGATTTATTTCATTTCTCTCTAAGTCCACATTGTGCTTTATGTTTTTTTTCTAAATAACAACTTAATTTTTGGACAGTTGGGTTCTTGGTGTTCTCCGAGCTTGATTATTTTCCTGCAGATTTTTCATTACCCGACTAGGTAAAGTTTGCTGGCTGTGTATATGTGTAGTACCTTGCCCTGCCAGTCTTGGTCGGGGTCTGGTTTCTTCTTGATACCTTGATAATCAAGGGTCCATCAAGGAAGAAACCCCACCCCAACGAAGACTGGCAGGGCAAACTACTACACATATACACACGGCCAGCAAACTTTACTCCCCCATGCACTGATGATTTTACTTAGTCTGGTGAAATATCTGCAAGAAAATAACCAAGGTCAGAGAATACCAAGGACCCAACAGTTCAACCCTGAGCTACAGATATTCTCTATTATTGTAACTTTCAGACATTCATGAACAGCTAGTGCCACCAAGATTCCTGGAAAGATTTACCAACAAGAAAGTGAGAAGAGGTGTCAGCATCACCCTTTCTGTGAAAGTGGAAGGTAAATAAACTTAAAGACCATCCCACCTTCCCTTTTTGATTACTGCTGTCATTATTCTCATTATTATTATTTTGTTTGTATAAATCAACAGTCTTTACCCCAACAGTCTTTCTATAGGATCTACCCCAAGAGTCCTACTGATACTCCAAAACCTCACTGCTTTTTTTTTCTTTTAGGGACTCCACCACCCTCAGTAACATGGTTGAAGGAAGAATCCCATGGAGAAGACATCCTCTGGATCAAGTCAGACACTCCAGGTTATAAATTGGCTAGTTCCAACATGCATCATAGTCTCATCTTATTGGACGTGGAAAAGACATATAGTGGAAACTACACTTGCATTGCCTCCAATCAGGCTGGTCAGTCTATCTGCAGTGCCTCACTAGAAGTTTTGGATGGTAAGTTTATCTATCTATCTATCTATCTATCTATCTATCTATCTATCTATCTATCTATCTATCTATCTATCATCAATCAATTACCTATCTCC